ACTGAGAGCTGAGGAACTTGGGGAAGGGAATACACAACTACGGCACACTCTAGCCACCCTGCCCCACCTCTAGGGAGGGGAGGAGAAGCACTTCTGAAGTTCACAGTCCAGAGGCCTAGGTCCACTAGAAGACTGCAATCTCATCACAGGGCTGTACACTGTGAACATGTCCCTCCCTCCTGCGCCACAGTCCTAAAGGTCTACTTAACAGTAGTTCCCTCCATCCAGTGCACCATGCCTAGCCGTGAAGAAAAATATCACAAGGCACACTTGATGGCAAAAATGTAACTTGAAGAGATAGCAAAAATCGGAATGATACATGGCAGGGATGCTGGAATTATCAGACTGGAAATGTGAAAGAACAGCGGTTAATATGGTAGGGGCCAAATGGACACAGTGGGCAACGTGCAAGGACAAGGGGAGGGATGCAGGTAGAAAGACAGAAATTCTAGAGATCAAAAGCACTGCAAAAGACATGAAAAATGCTTCTGATGGGCTCATTAGTAAACTAGACATGGCTGGGAAAGAACCTTGAGTTTGGGGATATATCAGTAGGTACCTCCAAAGCTCAAAAAAACCAGAGACTGAACAATATCAGAAGAGAATATCCAAGGTTTATGGTACAACTAAAGGTGCAATATACATGTACTGGAAATGTCAGAAGACAGAGAAAAAACAACAAAGAAGTATTTGAAATAATGGCTCAAAATTTCCCCAAATTAATATCAGGTCAATTCATAGATCCAGAAAAGTTCAAAGAACACCAAGGAGGACTTAGGCCAAAGAAACTACATGTAGGCACATCACTTTCAGCTACAGAACTCAAAAATGAAAGACCCAGAAAGAAGCTGCGGGGTGGGGCTCACACAGGAACAGAGATGAGAATTTCTCCTCAAAAACCATGCGAACAGAAAGAACAAAGTGAAATATTTCAAGTGCTGCTGGAGAAGAGCCACTAATCTAGACAGCAAGAGATTCTGAGAAGATGGGAGAGGAAGGCACAACAGAAATTTGTGCCCCCACCTAGACTGCATCTGCACTGGAGGAATCTGTCTGAAACGAAGATTTGGAACTCTGGAGTCTACGAAGGCTTGCGTCTTCCAGGGGAAGGCATGGACTAACATGGTGGTTAGTTCTGACAAATTTCGGTCCTTAGCACAGTCCTAGCTGCCTGGCCCAGGTCCCCGCCCCTTGGCGGACAGCTGTGCTCTGTGTTCCTACAGCAACCTCCACATAGCCCAAGGGAACCAGGGAGCATAAAAGGACGTCCACTCTGATAACTCTGATCATAGCTGCTCACACAGCTATGCAAGAGGGACAGGCAGTTACTGTCACCCACCTCCCTCACAGCAGCAAGCCCCTCCCTCTCATGCTGAAGTGATACCCAGGAGCTCTGAAAGTTCAGTACACTTTTTTTACCCCTTTATTTTCAACTTGTTGCCCTTATGGGAACCAGATTTTAAGGACTAGACATTCAAAACAGGAAAATCAGAAAGTGAGTGTGGATATCCAAGAAAAACTGCTGGCCTAGAAAAGACCCAAGAAAATCTTAAACTTACACTTTAGGGTGATACAGTAGACACAGTCTACAGTAATTAAAACACATACACAATACAGCAAGCGCTAGGAAAGAGGAAGAAGCTAAATTCCAGACATATCACACTATCAGATTCACATGCCCAGTATCAACACAGAACTCTGAAGGCATACAAAGACATAGAAGGATACAGATATTCATAAGAAAAGAATCAACAGATGCTGTCCCTGGGAAAGAAAGAACTGATGGCAGATCTACTTGACAAAGACTTTCAAACAACTGTCATAAATATGCTTGAGGAACAAAAGGAAGACATGGATAAAGGTAAGAAGGCACTGTTTGAAAAAACAGAAGTCAGTAAAAGAGAAAACCTAAAAAGAAAACAAGAAAATTCTCGAGTTGAAAAATACAACAACGAGCCGGGGATTTAGCTCAGTGGTTCTGGCACCTGCCTCGCAAGCACAAGGACCCAAGTTTCATCCCCGGTACCAAAAAAAAAAAACAAAAAGAAAGAAAAATACAACAACTGAAATTAAAAAACTCACAAAAGGGATTCAAAGGCAGATCTGAGCAGGCAGAAGAATCAGCAATCTTCTGAATAGCATGGCACGGAAATTAGTGCATTTAAGGAACAGGAAGGAAAAAGTCTGAAGAAAAGTGAACCAACTAAAAACACAAATGATACTTTAGCCGGAGCAACACACACCTATGGGACTACCAGGAGATGAGAGAAGCAAGGCTGAGCAGGTATCAAATAGCGAAAAGTCCCAAAATGTAACAGATATAAAGACATGAACATATGCATCCAAGGTCAATGAAATCCAAGTAAAATGAACTCAAGAGAAATCCATAAGGAGAAACATTATAATCACATGAAAATCAAAGACAAAAAAATGAACCTCAAAAGAAGTAAGACAGGGCCAGGGATTTAGCTCAGTGGTTCCACCGCCGCCTGCCTCGCAAATGGAAGGACCCGAGTTTGATCCCTGGTACCAAAACAAAAAAACAGTAAGACAGAAAAAACTTGTCAGATACCAGGAATCCGCTAAAATTTTATATATATTTCTGATCAGAAACTTTGGACACCAGAATATGATAGGCCAATACATTCAAAGTGCTAAGCAGTTAAAAACAAACAAACAATACATTCACAATATGACAAAACTGTCCTTCAAAACTGAGAGGAAAATTAAGACATTGCCAGATAAAAAACAGCTAATGGACACTGCTACCAGACCTGACCTGCAAGAAGTGGTCAGAAGAGTCTTGCAGGGTTAATGAAAAGATACCATCTAAACAATAACTCATATGAAGAAATAAAGATCTCAATAAAGGTAAATACATGGGTTGTAGCTCAGTGGCAGAGAGCCTGCTTAGCCTGTGTGAGGCCCTGGATTTGATCCCCAACAACTAAGTTAATTAATAAAACACATAAATAAACAGCTAGTATTATTGTTACAGCAGTTTTTAATTGTACTTCTTGCTTTCTAGATAACATGAGACTAATATATTTAAATATTAAGTATAAAAGCTAGCACTATTTTGACTTTGGTTTATAAGTCCATTATTTTCTACGTAATTTAAGAGACTGATGAATTAAAAGTAATTACAGTGGGCTGGGAATTTAGCTCAGTGGTGCTGTCGCCTGCCTAGCAAGCACAAGGTCCCAAGTTCAATTCCCAGTACCAAAAAAAAAAGGTAGTAACAGTGAAGTTTATGTTTTAGGTCACATGATGTATAAAGAAGTAATTCTGTGACAGCAACAACTGAAACAGGTAAGAAAAGAGCTGCTGAAGGAGCAGAATTTTAGTATGCTATTGAAGTTAAGCTGGTATAAACTGGAATTAGGATGTAATAACTTTAGGATGTTAAATGTAATCGACATGGCAACAACAAAGGAAAGAGTTACAGAATATCTACAAAAGAAAAGATGAAAGGAATTTAAAAGTATCACTACAAAAAGTCAACTAAATGCAAAAGGAGTCCAGAGTACAGAAAAGGAGCTATAAGACATACAGAAATCAAATAGTAAAGTGACAGAAATAAATCTCTCCTCCCAGTCACATTTACTTGCAGTTGTAGATCCAAAGACATAAACAGGCTGATAGTTTGGTACAAATCACCAATGACATCACTGGGTCCAAGGCCTGTTTTGGTGTTGGGAATATTTTTGATTACTGACTCATCTCCTTATTAGCTACAGCTCTCTTTAAATTTTCTATTCATTTGTAATTCAATGTCATCAGGTTTTGTGTTTCTAGGAACTCATTTATCTAGGTTATCCAATTTGCTAGCAAAACATTTGTCATAGAATTCTCCTAATCCTTTTTATTTTTGTAGAATCAGTAGAAATATCCCTACTTTCATTTCTGGGTATTCTCTGTTTCTCAAATTCTTCCAAAAAATTGAAGAAGAAAGAGCATCTTTTAATTTATCCTGTGAAATCAGCATTACACTGATACAAAGATAAACTACAGACCAAAATTCCTTATAAAAAAAAATCATCAACAAACTGCTAGCAAACCTAACTCAGCAATATATTAAAACTTAAACACCATAATCAGGTGAAATTTATTGCTGAAATGCAAGGACAGCTAAACAGAGGAAAAATTAATCAATGCTAATAACACCACACTGACAGAAGCCAGAGGGGAAAACACATATAATCATGACGCAGAAAAAGCATTTAACAATATTCAATGCCTGTTAGTAATTAAAATAACAAAACTCAACAAATCTAGAAAAAGGAAAAAGGGCCAGGGATTTAGCTCAGTGGTTCCACCGCCTGCCTCGCAAGCGCAAGGACCTGAGTTCGATCCCTGGTATCAAAAAACGAACAAAACAAAACAAACCTAGAAAAACTACCCCAATATATAAATAGCATATAGTAAATACCCTTGGTGAACATCCTACTCATTAATGAAAGTCTAAAAGCTTTTTCTCTGAGAAACAAGGCAAAGCCTGGTTATGCCACTTTTGTTCACCACACCACTAGAATTCTAGCTGTAGCAGAGGCAGGGGGAAGGGAGAGGAGGGAAGGGGAAAAAAAGGGAGGAGAAAAAAAAATAGTCTCTACCCAGCTGTCTTTGTATGACTTATGGACAGAAAAACCCAAAATATTTCACCAAAAACTATTAGAACAAGGGGCTGGGGATGCAGCTCAGTGGGGCGGGCCTGCCTGGTAAGTGCAAGGATCTGAGTTAGATCCCCAGTATCAAAAAAAGAAAAAAACATTCAAACAAATTAAGCAAAAGAGCAGGACACAAAGTCAACACTCACAAATATATTACACTGCTATATACTGACAACATACATGAAATGGAAATTACAAAACCAAAACAACTTTGTTGTGAACCTAAAAAGAACCACCACCACTACCACCTCAGGGCAACAGGGGCACACCAGAGTCACTCTACTGCGCCTGATCTAGTTCCCCAAACCAGAAGGTCAAGCACTTTCTTACCAACTGCACTTCACCGAAAGCTCCTCTCCCGATGACTTTTACAACATCATAGTCTTCCGCCTTCATCTGCAGGCCTCGGACTTTTTTCACAACTTTCTCATCTATGATAAAAAGTTCACTGTATTTATAATATCAAGCATCACATTTATTAGCACCATGTATGAGTAATCATATTTGTAAACACATTTTCATTTCAACATACTGGACTTTGGTTTTTAAAGGTTCCTATTCAAACTTCTAAACCTCTCTGGGAAGGTGAAACAGAGGATTACAATTGAGCCCAGCCTGGACAACTTAGCAAGACCTTGTCTCAAAATTAAAAATTTGGGGGCCAGGGATTTAGCTCAGTGGTTCCGCTGCCTGCCTCACAAGCACAAGGACCTGAGTTCAATCCCCAGTACCAAAAAAAAAAAAAATTAAAAATTTGAGCTGGGCGTGGTGGCATTCTGGAGGCTGAAGCAGGAGGACTACCATGAGATTAAGGCGCTACACAGTGAGTTCAAGGTCAACCTTAACTACATAGTGAGACCCTGTCTCAAAAAAAACCAAAAAAAACCCCCAAAATTAAAAATTTGAAAAAGGGGGTTGAAGGTGTACCTCAGTGCAAAGGCCTTGGGTTCAATTCTCAGTACTGACAAATAAACAAGCAAAAAACAGTAACAAACAAAAGCCCCTAAGATTCACAGTATCCTTATATTAAAGAACCAAACCCATACATATGGACTCCCAAAAAGCAACAGTTAAAGCTATTCTGTGTTCTAACTGTGTTACTTGGCAAATCTGATGTCAGCTGACAGTGATAACCAAGTAATCCTGGTGTGCATTATAAATTATGACAGAAAGCTGCCACAAAAATCACTTGCAAGGACAATCTTGGCAATGACTGACAGCCTACTTCTTCACAAAGTAGTAACTGTACAGTGTATGTATGGTAACTAAAGACAAGATTGTTTAATTGGGGAAATACCCTAGTTAGTATCTGGCAATTCCAAATTAAAGAGCTTACTAGGGTGATACAAGATATGTATTAATCATTTGGAGAATTTCTAATCTTTAGAATTCAACTCAATTTACCTTGATATCAATAATGGCAAACTGGTTAACACAAACATGGATATACAGTATAAACACGTTTATAATACATGTTAACATATATGTGATAAACATGTATGATAATGTGCTATGATGGGTTAACATAATACATGTGATAACTGTTATCCCCACACTGGTTTTTTTTTTAGACCAAAATGTCCATATTTATAGAAACATTACAGCTTATTATTTTTTCTGGGTACTGAAATCTAAGTCTTAAGAGTTGTCAATATTACTTTAAAACTTCAATTAAAACTGCTATAAATAACCTAAAACAGCTAAATAGCCTTAATAATTTATACCGTATCTTGAATGTTACATACTGCACTTCAGTTCTGAGGTTTTGCTTCAGAACGAAAGAATATTAGTTTTGGCTTTTTTTTTCCTGTGGTACTAGGGGTCAAACCCAGGGTCTCAAGTAAACAGGCACTGTAAATATCAGTTTTTACATAAAATAAATGACAAACTAAAATATTCTTAAATTTAATAAGCTAATGTGTTAACTAAGTTAATAAGCTTATGGACTATATTAATCAAACACAAATCTTTTGTCCAAGTACAGTTATATGATCAAATATGAAGTTTAAAAATAAACATACTTACATCTATTTAAGAAATTATCTATATTCTTATTTTTCCTCAAGGCTGGAAAATCCAAATCAAGGACCAAGGAATTTAAGCCATCCTGTTAAAAATAAAAAGACAGTTTTTATAATTTCTAAACATTCTAAAAAGTCTTAAAACTCTATCATGTACATTCCCAGTGAACAGATGCTGAGCCACGCCGGAACACCGGAGCTCTGGCCAGCCTCAGGGGGTCTCACCTCCACCTGGCCAGGAGCACTGGGGCTCCAGGGCTGGGTGTGTGGTGCAGCGACAGAGCACTCGTGAAGCAGGTGCCAGGCAGTGGGATCAGCCTCCAGCACTACCAAATAAATACATGTTTTCAAGAGGAAGAAGAAAGGAAACAAAATACAACAACACTAAGTTCTTACTCATTTAACAAACATTAATTTTGTGCCTACAAAGAGGAAATGAAAAACTAAGACTATCCTATCCCAGGGAGCCCACCCTCAAAGCCAAATATCCTTTGAAAAACAGGAAAAAATGATGCTGTACTGACTGGGTTTTTATTTTCTTCTTTTAAGTTTTATGTACTTTCTAGATTTTTTTAAATGAGCATACATTTTTAAAAATGAGCATACATTAAATTTAAAATCAAAGTAGGAAAAAGTATATATCTTGGTGGTGATGAAAAAACTAAGGGTTACAGAATGAACATACTATACACCAATAATGAACCTGATGAGAAAAAAATCAGGAAAACAACTCCATTCACAATAGCTTCAAAAAACAAATACCTAGGAATCAATTTAGCCAAGGAGGTGAAAGACCTCTATAAGGAAAATTACAGAGCTCTGAAGAAAGAAACTCAAGAAGACATCAGAAAACAGAAAGACGTCCCTTCTTGAATCAGAACTAATACAGTGAAATTGTCAATTATCATCAAAAGCAACCTACACATTTAATGCAATCCCTATTAATACACTAACATTCTTCACTAGAAGAGGAAAAACAATCCTCAAATATATATAGAACAAAGGACTCAGGATAGGCAAAACAAACCTGAGCAAAAGGAGCAAAGCTACAGGTATCATAACACCAGTTTTGAAGTGATACTATGAACTGGAGTAACAAAAGATACTGGTGGAGTCGAGCAGAAGACACAGAAACAACCCCATGCACCTACAGCCATCTGATTGTTTGTTTGTCCGTTTTTTGTGGTACCGGGGACTGAACTCAGGAGGCAAGGAGTGCCACTGAGTTAAATCCCCGGCCCAGCTATCTAATTTTTGACAAAGGGGCTAAAAACATATTTTGGGAGAAAAGACAGCCTCTCTAAAAATGCTGTTGGGAAAACTGGCTACCCGTTAATAGAAGACTGAAATTTAGATAACCGACACTGCACTAAAATCAAATAAAAATGGACCCAAGACCAAGATATAAAAACAGAAACTTTGAAACTTCTATAAGATAAAACAGGGAAACACCTGAAAGACTTTCTACATAGAACTCCAGTTTTACAGGAAATAGTATCAGAATCACCAAACAAGACCATATCAAATTACAAAGCTTCTGCACAGCAAACAAAGCAATCAACAGAGTGAAAAGATAGCCTACTGAATGGGAAAGAAATTTTAATGCTAGCTACTCTTCTGACAAAGGACTAATATTTAGAATATAGTATATAAAAACTCAAAAAATTAACCTCAACCAACAATCCAATCAAAAACTGGGCAAATGAACCTGACACTTCAAAAGAAGTACAAATGGTCAATAAGTATATGAAAACCTGTTCAACATCTTTAGTCATTAAGGAACTACCATCAAAACAACTAAGGGGCCGGGGATTTAGCTCAGTGGTGCTGCCACCTGCCTCTCAAGTGCGGGTCCCAAGTTCGATCCCCGGTACCAAAAAACTCAAAAAACAAAAACCTGAAATTGTCATCTTACCTCGTAAATGACTATCATCTATAAACAAAAAGCAATGAATGCAGGTGAGAATCGGGGTGTGGGGACACCCTGCTACACTGCTGGTGGGAATGTAAACTAGCATAGTCTCTATGGAAACTGGAGATTCTCCCAAAACTAAAACTGTGTGATCCAGGAGACCCAAAGCTATACCTTTGTCCTGGGTATATTTCGGAAGGAGTTAAAGATACCATACCATACTGTTAGGTTCATGCCCATGATTATAAGAGCTCAACTCACAACTGCTTAGCTCTGGAAACAGCCTCGATACCCATCAACAGATGAATGGATAAAAGAACTGTGGTGTACATACACAATGGAGTATTATTCATCCATAAAGAAATCATGTCATTGCAGGAAATATATAGAACTCAAGACCATCACGCTAAGTGAAATAAGCCAGTCTCAGAAAGTTAAGTACTGCATGTTTTTTTCTATGAGAAACCTAAAGTATAACTAAATGAATGAGTAAAATTAAAATGGAGGGGGAAGGGGAAGGGAAAGTGTAGAAGAGGGTTTAAAAAAAAAAAAAGAAGCTATAATATGTACATATAACCACTCCCAAAATGATTGTAAACTTCATGAACTGCAACATGTACTAATATTTTTAAAAGTCAGAAAAAAAAAGAAATGATAATAAAACTAGAAGGTAGACACCAGGGATTTAGCTCAGTGGTTCTGCCACCTACCTCAAAAGCACAAGGTCCCGAGTTCGATCCCCGGTACCCCCAAAAAAAGTAGAAGGTATAATCTTAGAGATGGGAAAGGGCATGGGGGAAGTAAAGAGATTGAAAATTATCAAGATATGTTATATGCATGTACGATTCCCCAAAATACATACCATTAGTCTGTATTACAGACATGCACCTAAAAAAAGTCGGGGAAAGGGCCAGGGATTTAGCTCAGAGATTCCGCTGCCTGCCTCACAAGCGCAAGGTTCCAAGTTTGATCCCTGGTACCAAAAAAAAAAGTTGTATTCCAGTATGATTTCAAATCAAAGACAGGTGTCTTCATTTGGAAAGCATTCTTCTATACTTCTCCTAACCTTGACAGGAAGAAAATATTTAACAAGGTAAAACCTTCCACTGCAAGAATAAATCTTCATCAGAGATTTTGCAAACAATAATTCATACTAAAAAGATAAAAATAACTGTCTTAAAATCTTCATTTACACACAATGAAAACAAAAGAAAGGTTTCTTTGAAGCTTACTGTTGATAAAAAGACTGAACCCTTACTTCCCCCATACCCTCACTGAAAGAGGATTATCAAAAAGATAGGGTTATCTTTTTGGAGGAGTAAATAATCAAGAAAAAAATCCGAAAATAGTTTACAAATATTTCCCTATAATATACCTCACCAGTGTAAAGCCAGAGAACTTTTTCAACAGTTGGAATGTTTGAGCAAATTGCTCATGTTGTTTTTCAAATCATTTCTTAAAGATCAAACTCTATTTCAATTGTTTATTATGTATGTAGTATACATTTTAGTGACTGTATGGTACTCTGATCTAATAATTTTTTATCAGAATAACAATGTAATAATGTATGAAATTAAAAACTTAATTGAGGCTTGGGGCCAGGGATTTAGCTCAGTGGCACCATGCCTGCCATGCAAGCACAAGGTACTGAGTTTGATCCCCAGTACTGTCAAAAAAAAAACAAACCCACAAAAACAAATAAACTTAATTGAGGCTTTATGAAGTTTCATAACTGGAATATATGCTATTCAATTTCACTTTTTAAGAGCTGAACATTGGCTTGTTTTCAGGTCCCATGTTTTAGCCTATGAAGTAAACGCTGAGAGTCACTCGATCAGGCCCTGGGGAAGGGCCGGGTCTGTGACCTTCCTTCCCAGTGCAGCTTCCAGCCGAAAATCAGCAAGATCAGGCAGAATGCAAAGGTCTTCGCCAGGCGAGCCACCAAAACCAGATATGGGACAGCCCGTATCTGGGTTCAAACAACCTCAGCTCAAAAACAAAACAAAAAGAGAACTACCCAAGCTTTATACCACAGAGCCTAACAAGGTGGCTCAGACACAGCTTTCAGTCACACACGGGGTTAAACCCACCCCAGCTTGCTCAGACACCAGAGCTCCTCCACCTCCAACGTTACGGGGCAAGGACAGGAGTTATGTTCATGGTGGAACCCACTTCACAAGTAGTCCAAAAGCGGAGGAAGGCGGAGAGGAAAAAGCGTTTTCCAACTTTGATTTAAAAAAAAAAAGTACAAACCAATACTCAACTTCTCCAATACAATATGGAGTATATTTATTTTTTTAACTTCTCCAGAACAGAGAAACTTTTACACTTCTGCTGTCAGGAAGGAATAAAGTATTTGACTTAATTTCCTTTTCACAATACACTACTTCTAAATTCAGGACAAATTATCATTTAGCTGAAATGTTTATAAGTATACGAGTTGCCAGCATATAGGTGGCATTTAAAGCTACAAAACTGGATAAAATCACCAAAGGTGTGGGCTGGGTGTACAGCTCAGCAGTGGAGGCTTGGAGGCCCCGGGTTCAATCCCAAGCACCACTAAGAACAAAATCACCAAAGGTGTGACCAAAGACTACAGAAAAGTATCAAGGTCCACGTCCCAGGAAACATCAATAGTAAGACCGAGAAAAGGAAGGGACTAAGAAGAAACAACCAGTAAAGTAGGAAGGAAGTCAAAACTGCTCTGCTGCTCTGGAAGCAAGAAGGAAAGAAGGGAGCAAGAGAGAACGGCCAAAAAGTCAGCCTACCACATCGGCCACATCAACCCAGGCCTGAGAATTCAGCTACTCAGGGGGCATCAATGACTTCTCTAAGGACTATTTAGGTTACAAATTTGTTGCTTCCAAATCACTGTTCACTGCCTTCTTAATACTAAGGTTTCAATTCAATTGCTCTATTTTTGTTTTTAAAAAAACCTCTCTAAGATGTTACTGTGAGTTCACATCTTAGACCACAATAACACCTGCATTCAATATGACTATAAATTATGTGTCTTATACTTTATAGCCTATTTACCAAAACCTGTAACTAAATTACACAGGTCAATCCAGCACTTAAGACTAATGACAGGAATGTTCTTAATTACTTAATTACTGTGCAAAGCTCTGCACATAAACTAAACATTCTAACCCTCACGGTAACAGGTACGTTAGA